AAGGGTCTGGACTATATACACAAAGTGGAGAAAGGACTCTGCCTTCATCTATGCCACAGAGGAGAGAGAGGCTGAAATCATAATCCTGCCCTCAGCATTCCCTATTGGTTGGCTTTTTTTATTGGTTTTTGTAGAATCCATTCTCAGGCACCTGAGACTCCCCCAAGCTTTATATCATGATCAGGGATCCTAGTTTTCTCTGATTTAAAAAAAAAACAAACAATTTTAGGATTTAAAAAAGTAACCCAAAAATCAATTTTGGGTTACTTTTTTATGAAATCATAGAATCAAAGGACCAGAAGGTACCTATAAGATCATCAAGTCTGGTTCCCTGCCATGGGCAGGAAGTTATTGGGCTCAAACAAGCTCAGCAAGGTGCTTGTCCAGCCTCCTCTTGAACACCTCCAAGGATGGCGACTGCACCCCCTCTGCTGGGAGTATGTTCCAGATTCTTGATACCCTTACAGAAAAGAAGTTTTTCCTTATGTCCAGCCTAAATTTTTCCTCAATTAGCTTGTGCGCATTGCTCCTTGTCCTCCCAAGGGGTAACTTTCTGAAGAGTTGCTACGCTAGATCTTGGTATTTACCCTTGACATACTTGTAGGCAGCTATCGGGTCTTCTCTTGCTCAGACTCAACAAACCCAGTCTCTCCTTATAGGGCCTATCTTCCAGGCCCCTAATCTTATGGGTCAGGGGTGACACGTAGGGCGTGCATGGGGGTGCACCCCCTGAAAGCACCAGTGCATCCCCTGACAGGCCGCACTCCCTGTTTAGCTAGTGGGCAGAGGGGCAGGCGGGAGCACCAGTGCCCCCCCTGCGAGTGCTGTGCCATTTCCGGAAGTGGCTGCGGGAGTTTCGGAAGCAGCGCGGCCACTTTTAAGGTGAGTAAGATCAGCTGCAGGAGATCCCTCCCCCAGTTGCTGACTTGTGTCAGCATGTGCCCCCCCCCCACCTCAAGAGGCACCAGACACCCATGATATGGGTGGCCCTTCACTGTACCCTTTTGAGCCTATCCACATCCTTCCTGAAGTGTGGTGTTCAGAACTGAGGAGGAGGAGCACCTCTCTGGATCTGTTTGCAACACATCGGCTGATATTAGCCAGAGTTCTATTTGCCCTGCTGGCAACTACGCTGCACTGTTGACTCATATTCATCTTCTGGTCGATTGTCACCCCTAGGTCCCTTTCAAATGCAGTGCCAGCCATTGTATAGTTGTGGTGAAGGTTCTTCCTACCCAGATGAAGGACCTGGCACTTGTCCCTATTGAACCTCATCTGACTGCATTCAGCCCATATGACCAGTCTGTCAAGGTCATACTGGATCCTTACCCTATCCTCAAATGTGCCCATATTTCCCCAAAGCTTGGTGTCATCTGCAAACTTAATCATTGTGCTTTTCACCCTCTCATCCCAATCATTGATAAAGATGTTAAAGAACATGGACACAAGCACTGATCCCTGGGGGACACTACTAAAGACAGCCCTCCAGGATGAGGCCATCCCATTGATTACAACTCTCTGGGATCAGCCTCTGAGCCAATTGCCAACCCACCTCACTGTAGACTGGTCTAAGCCAGTACCCTCCAGCTTAAATGAAATAATCTCATTGGAAACAGTGTCAAAAACCTTGCTGAAGTCTAGGTAAATGATGTCAACCTCATGTCCCTTGTCCAGCTGGTTACCTGCTTGTAAAAGGACACCAGGCACAACCTACCCTTGACAAAACTGTGCTGGTTGCTTCTTACTACACCACCAGTTGCAAGCTTGTGCCTCCTTGACAATTTTTTCAAATATTTTGCCCAGGACCGAGGTCAGACTGACCTGTCTGTAGTTTGCAGAGTCATCCCTCCTCCCTTTCTTAAAGATGGGTACCACGTTAGCCCTCTTCCAGTCATTTGGGACCACTCCTGAGTCCCACGACTCTTCAAACAGCTTCGCCAGGGGCCCTACTATGAGCTCAGCTAGTTCTTTCAGGACTCTCAGATGGAGATCATCTGGCCCAGCCAGCTTGAACACATCCAAATGTTCTAAGAGTATCCTCACCTGTTTGGGACTGATTTCATGCGGACTGTTGTCTTCCACATCTTCCCTGGGCCTCTGGACAGGTGAACAGCTCCCATCTGATTTCAGGAATACCAATGTGAAGTAAGTATTTAGGAGCTCTGCTTTTTCATGGGGATCAACTGTGGGTTGCTCCCCGTATTCAGTAGGGGTCCCACAGTGGAGCTTGATTTTTTCTTGCTCTCTCTGTACCTATAGAAGGACTTTTTGTTATCTTTTATTTCAGTTGCCAGCTTGATCTCCACACCTGCCTTGGCTTTCCATGTCTCCTACCTGCAGACCCTGTCCACATGTTTGTACTCCTCTCTGGATGCTGAACTGTTTTTCCACCGCTTATATGCTTTTTTTTTCTTTTTCAGAAGTTCCCTAATATCCCTATTGAGTCAAGCAGGTCTCTTGGCCCCTTTCCTGCTTTTTAACTGTGTGGGGATGGCCTCTTTTTGAGCTGTAAGAATTGCCCTCTTAAGGAAACACCACCTTTTTAATCTGAAAATTGGGGATTTTTTTTTCAGAGAAAATCAGGATCCCTGATGATGAGGTCAAGTGCCTACACTGGTTGTTACCAACTACACTGGGCACATAGGGGCCTGTAAATTAGGTTTTGCAATGCTTGGTGCAAGAGAGTCAGCAGAGAATCACCACTCTGCACACATAGGATTTTAAAATAAAATCAGAAAGTGGTTCTTGGAGAGATGGAATTTAAATTCCAAACTATGGAAGTAAGTAATAATAATTTTGACTTCACTCTCAAACCAGCATAGGTCTCCCTTTCCATTGTTTTGGAGAGTGGGTTGAACCTGATGATAAGTGATAAAGGTATTAAGTCATCTCTAAACAACTTTGCATTTTACTACAGGGCCTTCACACTGTTATAGAGCACAGGAGAAGTTGGAATCCTTTATATACTGCTTATGGGAAGTGTAATGGTAGGCAAGAACAGGAAGAGCTGTTGGAGAACAAAAAAATAATGATAGTAATCCCACATAGTACTGAATAAATTGGTTTAAGATATTTTACTAATATAATCATAGGTAAAATCTTTGTTACATACCACAAGTATATTTACTGTATCTTATAAAATATTCTCAGATCCCAAAAGTCAGTAGTTTAGAAACAAGTACTTTTTAGCAGAAATGATAATTGGATGACATACTGGAAATGAACTAAGTATATAAAAAAGATCTGCACATCTCTACAAAGGAGTTTATCTTTCTAACTATGAAAAAATGGGATACAGACCTTGAACTACATTGACTTCTTACTCAGATCTACAAAACTAAACCATTATTTTTCTATGAAATAACAAAGTAAATTCTATAAAAGTTACCATATATAAAACACAGCAATAACAAAGCCCATTAATATGAGGATAAACAGATACACAGAAGCAACAAAAACCATCCAGCACTCAAGCACTTAAGTTATGGGAGGAAAAATGTTCTCAAGAACATATAGAAAAATTCATTGCTAAGCCATTCTTCTAGTAGAGTCAGAAATAAAATCAGGTAGTAACAAATTAACGTAATCCTCCTCTCCCATCCCCAGCCCAGGAACAAAAGTATCTGAATCTTGTACAGGTGAGATGTTCAATATCTGCATCCCAAACCTTGGACAACACACTAAGTCTAGTGTCTTAACAGCAAAAAGCTTTTTCCACACTTATAAGAATGAATATGTTTTTCTAAGTCACTAATTAAAATGAACATAAGCAACATCAGTTCAGTGATACTACAATATTTAGTAGAAAATTTGAATTACTAGATTTCTTCTCCACCTGACAGTATTTACAGAAAAAAAAATCTCGTGGTCTGAACATTTAACTATTAGACCTGCAAAATGGTTTGCTATTCTATCCTGTAAATCAATACATTTTAATATATTCATGTATATGGTCACTGATAAGTGTAAATGTATGGAATTCAAGAAGAGCAGCAATTGCAGGTAGAGACATCAAATGATCTTTCTGTCAGAGTTGAGCCAAAGATTCAATATAGAATTATGGCTCCTTGAAGGGATGTAGAGGTCCTCTTCACCTTCCTACATAGGGGTCGTCTTCACTATCCTACCTGATATCTCACCATTGGTCCACATACTCTCATCCCTGCATCTCTGAAATCCTAATACTCTGAGCTACTGAGAGCTCTTTGCATTCCTATGATCCCTGACTACTTCCTGTGTTGGAATCCCAGCAACCTCCCTTCTTTCAATATAGACCAAGAAGTTAAAGTAAAGCCGAAGTGAAAAAGGGCCAGTGCAGAATTCAGTGCCTGACTCAGATCCCTGCTGTCAAACAGAAGTGTCTCTGTTTAGTTACAAATGAATTCCTGCTCTTTATCTAATTGGACATTGAGAAATTTTAGTTTAGAGGCATTTTTGGTGTTTATTTTATGAGTAAAAATCAAAAGGACTGATAGGCATGCCTACATGAAATGCTACGCCGCCATAGTGGTGAGCTACAATGCCGCGGCTTGTCACTATGGTGACATAGCATCAGCTGGCAAGAACTGTGATGCCAACGCTACTGAGCAATAGCAACCTATTGTTGCTACTGCGCAGTACGGTTGAAAACAACCCATGCACTGCTGGGATTGTGCAGTAATGGCACAGTAACAACAGAGCAGTCAGGTGCAAATGTAGACATGCCCACTGAGGCTTAAACAGATTCTGAGGCTCCACAGGTCCCTTATGATATACCATCTAGCTGGACCTCTGCTCCCCTCCAAGACAGGCATCTTTGAATTAATTTGTTTAATAACATCACTCATTTACAACACTTTCCTAAGAACTGTAGAATGGTCTGTTATTCAAGGATATATAATTAAAGAAATTCTGCCTATTATAGTAGTATTTGTTTATGCACGGACTGAAGGAAAATGATTCACACACTTACTTCTCTCAAGTAGAGGCATCATGATTTAAACCTATGGAGAATAGGTCTTAGGAAACACAAGCTACAGATAGACTAACATTTTCCTGTGACCAGAGTTTATCTTAGGCTACATCTTCCCCTCTCATGTCTTGCTTCAAAATGTTTGAGGACATAAACCTGAGGACTGCTAGTGACAGAAGAAGTTGAGATTAGGAAAATGTACCCATCAAAGGAGTGTGTGTGAGCCTATTAGTTAAACATCTAGCTAAGGACTGATCAATTAATCAAGTCCATTTTTATTTCATGTACTTGTAGAAGCGGCGCTACAGCACTAGCCCTCTTCTGTATATTTTTTTCTATTGAAGCTTACATTCATTAATGGTTCAAAGCCTTTTCTCTGTCTTCTGTGCTGAAAGAGTGCAAGCAGCAGAATTAGTACAATTAAAGCGATTAGTGCTCCTCCAAGTATGGAACCAACCATTACAGCCCAAGCATGAGTTTCTTCAAATGCCTCTGTAAAGAAACAACATCTTAGTTATAGACTGGGAATATTTTTGCTCCTACAAATCACAAGGAAGATGAATAACTCTAACAACTGCATAACTATTATTTGTATCAATGCAACAACAAGAGCCCACAAAGAATCAGGCTCTGGTGTGTAGGTTATGTGTAAGAGACAAATTCATTGTGTTATAATGTTAGAGCCCTTGCACTGGAGACCTCTGTTCAGGTCCCAGCTCAAAACAGGGCAGTGGAGCCAGAATATAGGTATTGTTTGCCCAAATCCTAAGCAAGTTTTCTAACCCTTGAGTGTGAGGCTTGGGCAGGGGCAGGGGAGGGGTGGGGACAGAGAGAGAGAGAGGTGTGAAGAGTGATATTCCATTACCTACTCTTATTTGGTTTGTAAGAGACAACTGGATTGGCTGAAATGCTAACTTCCAGAGCAGATTTATGGCTGAGAATCAAGACAGAAGATACATACTTTCCCCCAGGCCATAGGGAAATAACTGTTCTCCTTAGAGCTTTCATATCTGAATGTCTGTGTATGAAAGTTTGAACTGCCATGCATCTTACCATGGAACTCCTTTCACACTTCAGCAACTTACCCGGCAGCTCAATGGCATAGGTGTAACCAAGTTGCTCTGCAGTTAGAAAAAGTTGATCATTGGTCACTGGAGGGAAGAAAGGGACCATGTTATACAGCCTATTGTGGCCAATAGGTGCCAGCTCCTCAGGCCAAACACTGTCAGATGGGTTAAATCGCTTCATCCATTCATCAAAGACAGCATCAGTAAAAGAGTGAAGAATCTGCAGATTCAAATACACACACGTGCCACAGGCACATTTAACACCTAATTTCAACAGTTTATATTTTTAAAAATCATCAGGACGTGACATATTGTAAGGAAAGACACAGCAGTAGAAGTGAACTGTACAAGTACTGCAGATGGATACTGTAGCACTGTAGGGTATGGAACTCATCAAAGCTACATTGCAAGGCACCAATCATCCTTGATTAAGTGTATCAGTTCCCCTGCTTCAGCAGCAGAGAAAGGCTCAAGCTGTGAGTCAGAGAGCATCACAGTTTGGTCTCAACTTCTTTCTTGCCAGCCTTTTACCTTGGTAGTTCAGCTGTACTGGCCATTGGACTGGGGAAGCAAAGCTCCCACCCTGCCAGCCATTCCCTGCCCACCTGATTAGGAATAGGTACTTGGCAATGCCTACTCTCTCCTCATCATGTATCCTGAAGAGTAACTGACCCATGACAGAGGAAAGGGACATGTTCTCATTTCTTTTCATGAATTCATAAACTAGTTTACAGCTGAACCCTAGGCCAAAGTCAGCCCAACAGAAATTAGAGCAAGAGTCTCTAGTCCAGGAGTGCTCAACCTCAGGCCCACCAGTCAAATCCAGCCTGCAGAGCCATGACATACAAATTTCACAAACTTGGAAGTGGGGAGCAACAGAAGCTCCACCCAGCTGATCCAGCCTCACCTAGGCCGTTGTCTGAACAGCAGGGTTGGGGCAGACTGCCTCTTGCACATCCAGTTTGGACCAAGCTGTTCCCCCTGCAAACTGCATGCCCAGATTGGGGTCATTTTACCCTACCTCCCCCATGTTGGGTTCAGAACCTGGCTGCTCAACCCCCCCACTCCTCCTACATGTCCAGATTAGAGCTGCTCCACCCCACCCCACACACATCCAGACTGGGCCTGTTCTGCCCCGACCCCCCACCCTGCCTTGTGCATCCAGACTGGTACTAGGACTAGGACTGAGCTGCTTTCCCCCACCCCTCACGCATCGGATCAGGGCCACTCTGTCCTGTCCCCACCCCAGGCAGATGGATCAAGGTCAGGCTGCACAATTCCCTGCAGCCAGATCTGATTTGCAGAGAGACCTAGCACTGCCTATCTGGCCTATGGTGTGAAAAAATTAGACAACACTGCTCTAGTACATGAGTTCCACATTGCACTGATAAAGGCAAGAAATCTAAACTAATATAATTATTATATAGTTACTATTATATAGTAACTATTATATAGAAGTAATAAAAGGCACTAAAAGGTATAAGTTAAAGGAAAATGGGGGAATATGTCACTATACACTGGGCGGGTGGGGTGTTTCATTCCTCCATCCTGAGTCAACATGAACCGTATTGGGAAGTGAGGTTTAAGGAGTAGAGAGTAGAAGCCGCATCTTGGTAAGTTAGTAAGATTGTTTAAAAAATAATTGCAGTTGAATCTTCACAGTCTAATGTGCATGTAACATATATCTTTAGGGACCAAGAAAGGTCTGTTTAGTCTCTCCCCTCATTAGAAAACTTCCCTCCAAGTAGAAACACTACTGTAACTATGTCAGAATTCTGAAACCACAACATATATTGCATTTTTCAAAAATTCTGTAGAAAGAGGTGATCCCCATGAGTTGGAAACAGTCTCCTATAACTTCTGCATGTAAACACATTTAGGCAACTGACCCATTTTCTTCAGATTGCCAATTTTTGAAATGCATAGGTTTTCCTCTTTTTTCTGTTCTTTTCACTCGTTATCTTCATCTCTTAAATTAGGGTGGACCTTAGAAGGCTAAATATATGGTCTGATTTTCAAATGTGCCAAGTTCTCAGAGATGATCTCTGATCTCTGGTTTTTAAATCCAAACATTTCTTCCAGGAGTCAAACTTTTAGGTTACCCACTAGAGGGCACTCAAGACACTCCCAAGAATGAAAACTCCTGTAGTGGCTATAACAGTATAAGACAGGAAAAAACATTGATGTAGTTGTGATAGTGGAGGAGTATGATAGAAGCAAGAATTGTCAGATTAGATAATATCTTTTATTGAACCAGCTTGTACAGTTGGTAAAAATAGGAGACAAGCTTTCAGGCCTCAAGCACTCTTAATCATGTCTGAGAAAGAGGCAGCCACAGTCCAAGTTAAATACAAGTCAGACTAATTGCTTTAGCTTATCCTAATTATGTTAATACACTTCATTGCTTGAAAGGGCAGTGGACAATTATCACCTGTGAATCAGAGGGAAGCCAACAGAGAAGAGGTGAGAGGTAGATGATAATGAGCAACACAACCATAATTATCGAAAAAGGGGACCTTTTATTAAGGGTCTTGAAAACTTAAAGAAATGTCTGCTTCTTCAGCAGTCCCTCACAGTCAAGGATGATTTTCTTCCATGATTGTCTTATCTGTGGATCTGAAGATGGGTAATGTGGCTGAACTGGGATTGACAGACTCCGTTGCAATTAGGGCATGTGTTTTCATGTAGGGTGCGTGGTTCTGGATTCTTCATTCAGTCCACAACACACTGTTTCTGCCATTCCCATTTGTCCATCTCCTGTTGTCATCCTAAGGTTTCAAAGTAGTGAAATCCTTGCAGCAGACTCTTATAGATTCATAGATTCATAGATTGTAGAGTCGGAAGGGACCACAATGGATCATCGTGTCCAACCCCCTGCCCCTGGCAGGAAAGAGGACCGAGGTCAGATGACCCCAGCCAGGTGACTATGTAGTCTCCTCTTGAAGACCTCCAAGCTAGGTGATAGCACCACCTCTCTTGGAAGCTCATTCCAGATCCTGGCCACCCTTACTGTGAAAATTTTCTTCCTAATATCTAACCTAAATCCACTCTCAACTAGTTTACACCCGTTATTCCTAGTCACTCCCTGGGGTGCCTTAGTAAACAGCGCTTCCCCTATTCCCCATTGACCTCCCCTAATAAATTTATAGGCGGCCACAAGATC